ATGGTCCTAGCATTAGTGTAGAGACACTTAAGCCTCCTGATGGGTGCCATTGGTACTCCCCTGTCCTGATGTCTATCAAGCCCCTTAGTGCTTACCTGGGCTGATTCAGTGCATTGCTTGTGGCATGCTGATCCTAGGTTCTCCTTATTCTCTGCTTCCCTGTCCCCTGGTGAACCTGGTTTAAAGCCCTTTGGAGGAGATCAGCCAACCTGTAAGAGAACAGACTCTTACCTTTAGAAGAGAGATGAAGACCATCTTGTCCGAGGATGGCTCTCTCATGGAAGTCGGATCATGTCTGTAGAAGCCAAAACCTGCACGATGGCACCAACTCCGGAGCCACAGATTGACTTCCCTGATGCAGGCATCCTGATGCTGACGGCGACCGCTGACTGGAAGGATGGACAAGAAGACTACCTGTGCCCCTGACTTCCTAAGCTTGGCCCCCAAAGCTCTGTGGTCACTCATGATGTGGTCTGGACTACTCCAGACCTGACCACATTGTTCATGCTCACATGGACAAGGACCATGGGATAGTAATCAGAGGGTCGGATGAGGTTGGAAATCCTTGCAGTGATGTCCCAGATCCTGGCTCCGGGTAAGCAGTAAACCTCCCATGCTGTGGGATCCGGTCAACAGATAGGCCCCTCCATGCCTCTCAGGAGGGAGTCACCCACCACAATGACCCAGTGTCTCTTCCTCCGGCTGCTCGGTTGTCACTCTGCCTGTCTGGTGTTTGTTGTGGATATGCCTTCCCCTGTGGCTTATGAATGATTGAAGAATAAATTGTATGACTTGGCGAAGTCTTGCAAAAGTTACATGCATGGGCACTAGGTTTGGGATCCACAGCAAGCACACTTCGGAGAACCATAGTCATGCAAACTCCTTGTACTCTGCAGGGTCCATCCCCAAACCCTATGTAGCTGGATGTTTTTCTTGAAACAATCAAGGAGTTTGCATTGATATTCAAAGTTCAGAATTTACACCCTGGTTAAATGATGTGGGCAGCTCATGACTTATCTGTTTTTTCAAGCTATCTCTGTATAGACTGGGAGAGCTGCCTGTCATATCACAGTAAAGAAGTTTTATTTATAAAACTAAGAGAATTCGTTTTCTCACAAAACTGCCTGCAGATCATAGCTTATAAATGCTGTGTTCTTTAGATGTTACTGGTGCAGAACCTTCTCACTGCCTGTTACAGGCAGTGGAGATCTACTAGACCTTCTAATCCATCCTTTCTTTGCTTGGGGGAGGATTGTTCTTTATGGTCTGTTCTCTGGGGTTTTCTGCAGACCTGTTTTACTTATCTCAATTCAAAGTTTCTAAACTGTGATCCAGAGAACACATGCTCCTGGTCTGCAGACAGATGGCTGCTTCCATGTGGCTGGTGCCTCCTTGCTTCCACTTGCTGTATTTATTGATGTACAGGGATTTCAGTGCCTATGAAAACAGTTGTAAACAAGAGGGAGGAACCAGCTTAATTGTAGCTGCTGCTACATTAACAGAAAGTGAGAGAACATGGGCACCATCCTGAGGGACTAGTTACCAGCTGAACAGGTGACAACATAAAACATTCATTAACATTATTTTTTCCATGTACACAAATTATTGTAGCTACCACAGGGTACCTGTGGACGCATGATGGGAGTGGGAGGGAAAAGATGTAGTCTAGTGGGTTTGAGAAGTTACACGCGAAGTGAGATAGCTTCTGCCACTTTGCTTGAGAAAATTGTTACAGCCAAATACATTTTGCTGTTGAGAAGTGTTTAGGTTAAATTTCCTCGTGTCTGCACAGTTCACTGATTTTTATTTATTTAATTTTTAATTTTTTTATTTTTTTTTGTCCACGTGGATTGCACTCTGGGGGCTCATGTGGTTGAGTTTGGGTTTATAGTTTCATAGTTGGTAGGGTCGGAAGGGACCTGAGCATATCATCTAGTCTGACCCCCTGCCAGGGGGCAGGAAAGAATGCCGGGGTCAAACGACCCCAGCCAGGTGATTATCTACCCTCCTTTTGAAGACCCCCAGGATAGAAGCGAGCACCACTTCCCTTGGAAGTTGGTTCCAGATCCTAGCTGCCTTGACTATGAAGTAGCGTCTCCTGATGTCTAGCCTGAACCTGCTCTCAGTCAACTTATGGCTGTTATTCCTTGTTGCTCCTGGTAGTGCTCGGGGGACAGGGACTCTCCCATTGTTTGCTGGTCCCCCTTGGCCAGTTTATAGGCAGCCACCAGATCCCCTCTCAGCCTTCTCTTGTGGAGGCTGAACAGGTTCAGGTCCTGTAGCCTCCCTTTGGAGGGCCTGCCCTGCTGCCCCCTGACCATGCGAGTGGCCCTTCTCTGAACCCTCTCAATGCTGTCCACATCCCTCCTGAAGTGCGGTGCCCAGAACTGGACGCAGTACTCCAGCTGCGGCCTGACCAGTGTTGCCTAGAGGGGGAGAATCACCTCCTTGGACCTGCTCGTGATGCATCTGTGGATGCATGACAAGGTGTGGTTAGCCTTCCTGACTGCGTCCCCACACTGTCAGCCCATGTTCATCTTGGAATCTATAATGACTCCAAGATCCTTTTCTGCCTCTGTGCTGACGAGAAGGGAGTTCCCCAGCATGTAGGTCTGCTGCTGGTTCTTCCTCCCCAGGTGCAATACCTTGCACTTGTCAGTGTTGAACCCATCCTGTTCTCATCCGCCCACCCCTGTAACCCGTCCAGATCTAGTTGCAGCCTGTCCCTCTCCTCGAGCATGCCCACTTCTCCCCACATCTTAGCGTCATCCGCAAATTTGAACAAGGTGCTTTTTGTCCCCTCGCCCAAGTCGCTGATGAAGATGTTGAACAGTGTGGGCCTGAGGACCAACCCCTGGGGAACCCCACTGTCCACATCCCTCCAGGTCAAAAATGACCCATCCACCACCACTTTCTGGGGGCGGCCCTCCAGCCAATTTGTGATCCATCTGACTGTGTAGGCATCGACACCACAGTTGCCTAATTTTTTAATGAGAATAACTAGGAAACAAGTCAGACAGCTGTGCAGAAAACACTGTGTTTCTAACACAGAAAACAAGTCAGCCAGCTGTGCAGATGCCCTATCTATGTGGATGTGGTTAAGTCATACTTCAAGCCCTTTGCCCCATGTGATGTGGTAATGCCTCTGATTGATGAGCATTTCACGTGGTTTTTTCCAGCCAGTGAGGGTACAGTCCATGCCATTTCACAGAATAATAAAATAGTAGGCCTGGAAGGGACCTGTAAGATCATCAAGTCTGGTCCCCTACCATGGACGGGAGGTAGTTGGGCTCAAACCAGCTCAGTTAGGTTCTTGTCCAGCCTCCTCTTGAACACCTCCAGGGATCTGTTGAATCTTTCATCTGTTGAATCTTTTTCAAATGGGCCCACAAATCCAGGGATGCTCATCTCTAAATTGTTTCTGTGCACACAGTCAGTTAAGGTGTTTTGGACTTAGAACTGAGTTGTACAAGTGGGTCTTCCTGATAAAGTCCCACTCAGTTGGTATGTTGGTGACCAAAGGCTCTACATCCCCGGACATTGTGGGGATTATGGAAACATGGTGGGACTCCAAGCATGATTGGGCGGTGAATGTCAAGGGCTATAGGCTGTACAGCAGGGACAGGATAGGAAAGAGAAGTGGGGGAGTGGCACTCTATATCAAGGAGGAATACACATCCTCGCTAATTAGTAAAGAGTCAGGGGAGAAGCACTCTGAAGTGCTTTGGGTTAGGGTTCAAGGCAAAAGAGGGGAAAGGGACCTAACGGTGGGAGTTTACTATAGACCACCCAACCAAGGAGAGGAGCTTGACCAGGAATTCTTGGGTCAGCTCACCGAGGTAGCGAAGGCTAAGGATGTGGTAGTCATGGGGGACCTGAACTTCCCAGACATCTGCTGGGAGGAGCAGTCAGCCAGGTCTGAGTGCTCCCGTAGGTTCTTAGACAGAGTCCAGGACTTTCATCTAACCCAGGAGGTACACAGCCCCACCAGGGGGGATGCCTTGTTGGACTTGGTGTTGGCCACGGGCGACGACCTGGTGAGGGGGCTGCGGGTGCTTGACCCCCTGGGCCACGAAGCTAAGTGTAAGACAAGAAACAACAGGTGAAGACAGACAGACAGACAGACAGGCAGGGGAGCACAGAAGGAGCAAATACTGGTCAACATGATGGGCAGTGTCCTCAGTATACGGGTAGCCCACTGGCTGTTGAGCTTTTTCTAAACGTCGCAGCAAAGGGGTTTTAGTGAACTCTAGGGTGGAGATCATCCGGACCAGAGCCACTGCAGCATCACCCAGTAGCTTTGTTGTTTTGTATTGCATGGAATGAATGCCTGAGAAAGATCAGATGCAACCATCCTGTAGTGAAGGGGAGGTGAGAGGGGTAAAGTAAAGGGGAATGGTGCTGGGAAGATGTATAAACCCAGAGAGGAGTGACTGCAACCAGTGTGACAGAGGAGTGTGACACAGTTTCTACACCAGTATCCCAACCAAGAGAAGGTGCAAGAATGGTATTTCCTGATAATCTGGAATCATAAGAGGTGTCTCAAGAGTGACCAGGAAAACAGGGAGAGGATGGCAGTGGTAGCATCATGTTGTGGAGCAACCTGTCAGCCTCTGCTGTCTTAATGTGTGTGGGTGGGTGTTCTCTGCTCTGACACTATCCCTATTGGACTTTCATTCCATGGGGCAGGAAGGAGATGAAGAGGAGCACAGGCAGTCTACCTACTGGCCCAACAGGCTGCTCTTAGGTGGGGGGCTGGAGTACAGAGGGCGGACATCCCATGCATGGGTGTCTCCTTGGGTTACAGATTGCCCTAATAATGCTGTGCTGAATCCCACTTCTGCTGCTGAAGATAGGGCTTCATCTCTCATCCTTTATTGTAGGTGGGCAGAGGTGTGCAGAGCTGTGAAGGTGAGGTGAGAAGCTTACCAATGGCAGGTTACCCTGTGTAGCACTGCAGATACCATTTTCCATACATTCATACTTTTTTATTCATGTAGGGAGCTTTTGGCAGGACCCCTCTTTATCGTGCTGCTTTTGGGGGTCACCTGGCTGCAGTGGAGATGCTTCTTCCTTATGGAGCAGACCCCAGAATTTATGCTGATGATGGCAACACACCTGAACAGGTAGAGGCAGTTCTTAATGTTTTCTTTTCCCTTACATCAGGGGTGCTCAACCTGTGGCCCATGGGCCAGATGTGGCCTTCAAAGGCCCATGGGGCTCCCCATGTGTTGGGAAATTTTGGTGGCAGGAGAGCAGTGGCAAATAATACTGCCACCTTTCTCCGTTGCCAAATTCCCACGCCCTGGATTGGGGCTGGGCCATGCCTCCCACTTCCTCACAAGCTGGATCATGGCTGGGCCATGCCTTCCTCCCCAGCCTCACATGGCCAGATCAGGGCTGGGCTGCTCCCCC